GCTGCCGATGCTGGCTGACCCAGGTGCAAATTGGCGGCGCGCAAAAGGGGGTGGATGTAGGGGGGGAGGGCTTCTTAGAAGGAGGGCTCCTTCTTAGAAGGCGCTGCCCTCACATTTGCAGATAAGGGCCGCGCCTTCTAAGAAGCAAGGGTGCTTCTAAGAAGTCCTCCCCCCTCCACAATTACTCAATATGAATACTACTCTCCCTCTTCCCCTGATGACGTCTTGGGAGTAGCCGCCCCCCCCCCCCCGCGTACTGCTTTTTACACACAGGTTTCCCCGGAGTTGGGTTTTCGCCTGCATTTTTTCCAAAATTCTGCTCTCGCTGACGCGCCAGCCTCATTTTCGGGCCCCGCTCGTTCCGAATCGTGCTCCCGCTGCAGCGCTGGCCTCATTTCCGCCGGCGCCTGCACGCCCGAGCCGGCGCCCGGGCCGGCACTCGGGCCGGGTCTGGAGCCGGTTCCGGCCGGCGCCGGAAAATCGAGTTCCGAGGCGGCGCCGAAAAAAGGCCATTCCAATACACATTTAAAAAAAAAATGCTAAATTTCTGCTTCCAGCGCCCAGGAGGGCTCCTCGGCCGACTCCGACGCCCGGGCCGGCGCCCGAGCCGGCGCCCGGGCCGGACGCCCGAGCCGGCGCCCTGGCCGGCGCCCAGGCCCGGTCAAGAGCCGGTTCCAGCCGGCGCCGGAAAATCGAGTTCCGAGGCGACGCCGAAAAAAGGCCATTCCAATACACATTTCTCTTTTTGAAAATGATGAATTTCTGCTTCTGGCGCCCGGGAAGCCTCCTGGGCCGATTCCAGCGTGCTTCCGCTCGTTCCGAATCGTGCTCCTGCTGCAGCGCGGGCCTCATTTCCGCGTTTCCGCTCGTTTCGACTCGTGCTCCCGCTGCAGCGCTGGCGTCATTCCCCGTGCCATGCCACGGCATAGAATGCAATGTTAGGTTCATACTAAGCTTCGCGGTGCTCTTCTACGCCATGCCATGCCGTGCTCTACAATGCATCGCGTACCCTTTCGGGATCATTGCCCTGCTCGACATCCTACTGTGCGAGTAGAGAGGGGATCTGCGCCATGGTAAGGGATGGGAGGGAGGGGTAGGATGCCAGGTATGACGCGAGCGCACCTAGTTTGCTCCACCCCCCTCTGCGCGTGGCTGAGCACATGCGCACTCATCCTTCTTCTCATCATCCCTCCATGGTCCTCTGCGAGGTTCTCCTCCTGCCCCCTCCTCCCCCTGTCCCCTCTAGTCCCAGCGCCGCCGTCCTGATTCCGTCCGTGATGGCCTGCTTGGCGAAGTGGGTGTGTATCTTCTCTCTCGCCGCGGCAGGCAGGCTGTCCGGCGGGAC